TCTCTCTCAAACGTTGCTCTTTGATTGCGCCCATCCCCTTACCACAAAGGGACAAAGACAGCCATGTCTCTACTCAGTTCTGTCTGTCTGTCTATCCGTCTCTCTGTCTGTCTTACTGTCTCTTTCAGCAACAGTAATAGATTGTCCATTGGCCTAATCGAAATGTATAACGTTCGAAATTAGGTGGTCATAAGGCTTTGACTTGTAGGCCTATTTTTAATAGCCCAACATTATGTAGCCTAATTGTAAAACACAAAGCCTGTCAAATGTCACCAAGGCAGTGTTCGTTCGTTGGTGCCATACTCCTCGCCATAACAGCTCCCCCATCATCCTAGGTCTCTGCTTTGATGTATTATTTCATAAAGTTGCAGTCCTCTGTTGGATTTTACGTCATCAATATGTACAGTAGTATGATGTTGGAGGTCGTAATATCATCACGTCATTTTCTGTCTATTATATACTATGAGGTAGCAGAGGTAGATCTAAGTAAGGGACATAACTTTACCAGCCACTTCTAAATAAAGATAAACCGGTTAGTCACCCTGAAATAGACCAGATGTCGGTCAGAATGATTAATTTATTAATTAGTTCTAATACTTTTCATTAAAAATTTTATTGGTGATACTAAATATAACAAATCATTTCATGGTGGCACATCTCCGAACAATAGTAAGACAGAGCAAAAAGTTTTACACAAATTCACCACGTAACCGGCTCCGGAGCTATTCAATAAGCGGAAGTCATCTGTTGTTCGTTAGTTACCCCCCTTCCTTCCCTGCCCATCTCATGAACAACAAATTGTAGTTCAATTGAAATAAAACAAAATGTCGTCTCTAAAGGATAAGGAGAGGGCTAAGGAGCTACAAGAAAAATTTCAAGCCATTCTGTCAGCTCTTCTAAAAGATGAAGATAATAAATACTGTGTTGACTGTGATGCCAAGGGTGAGTTCTTACCACATAACTGTACTCTATTGTGACAACAAAAGGACACCCTCCTTTCTGATTGTGGTTTGCCAATTTGTATGGTAGGCTAGGCCTCCTGACCCTTTAGATCTATAATGGTTGTTAAAGATAGTGTACTTGTAAATGTTGTCTGTATCAATGGGGATCCAATGCCCCAGTGTATGTTGTAAGCTAATTATCGAGTGGGACATTTAGGCAAATGAAATGTCAATCTTTTGTTTCTGGTTAGTTAAGTCGAACTTCTATAACTCAAACTGTGGTCCAGTAATCAGCATGAATTAGCCTCCTATAATGAAAGTGGGCGTGCGCCTCACAATTTTGTTATCATCTGGAAAAGTGTTACAAACTGAATGGTTCTCAGTGGTCGGTTCGATTATGAGTAGAATGAAATAGATCTAGATTTAGGTCTGAATCAAAACTTGCTAAGATGAGTTTCCCATGTAGGTTAGATTCTTCACATCTGTGCTATGTTTACTTCCTTGAAGTAGTTGAAGTCGTAGTCATGTATGTCTAGCATCATACCCGCATGACTCATTCATGACATAGACTGACACAGTAAAAGTATTAGTAATTCATTATCAATGTGCGGAAGGTTATTTCATTCCTGGTTTATACAGGGACAGTTTTAAAAATCAATTTTATAGTCCAATTTTCAGCCAACGTATCCATCACAAAAGTTACAAGTCTCTTTTATCTTAATTTTATTAAATTCATTTCCATTAATATGATTAAATAAACACCAAAGTAACGGAGTAGAAAGGAATGCTGTCTGTACGCAATATATGATTTCAATATAAATCGCCTGTCTATCGTCCAAAATATGTTCCAGAATTCTTTTACTTTCCCTCCCGTCTCACACTTAACTAATCTACTAGACTATTTTTTTGTTCGTAACGGTAAGAGTGTTACGGCTCTTGCAACACAATAAGGTCATATAAGTGCCGAAGAATAGATGTGTTACAAGAGAGTTACATCAACAAAAAAGAAAGAGGAGAGATATAAGGACGATAGATGTATGATTGGAAAGAAGGAGCAAAGCACACCAGAGCACCCGCCAACCACCCACTACTAGATCTAGTTGTCCATTTTCTACTATGTATTGATTTATGCTGAACACGAATATTTACTTCATTTCTTTTGCAAAATTAATAGTTTTTAAAGTATTTGATGGGTTTTTAATCGAATTAGGTCACACTAAGCTTAATTGCGTAGTAATTTCCGCTCTTTGAACCAATCAGCGGGGTTTCAGGAGTACAAAAAATCTGGGGGGGGTTACAGGGGGCCATGCTCCCCTGTTTTAACCCTTGATTTGATGTTTTGCAGTTAAGCTTGGCATTTTTAAAAAAAATTTATTAGTGACTATTTTAGTGGCTGCACGTGTGTGATGTGCAGCAAAAATTACTGCAATTTGACCCCCAGAGCAGTGCAGCTGTGTGCGGGAGAGAAAGTACAAATTTACCCATGTTCCTTGTTTCTGTGTACCCTCCTTTTGCCGGAACGCCTTAGAGCGTGTTGTTTTCACCTTCAATTAAAAGTATACACTTTTGCGTGTTAGATTTCCATCTATCCACATTCCGTTAAGTTAAAAATAGAGGATGACTTCCTTTCTTTGTGAGAATTCAGAGCTAGAAGGTGTATTTTTTCAAGAGACGGCATGTTGTGTCCCGTACAATCGAGTCCTTTCACATTACAACTGTTAAAAATCAAATCCTTCTTCAATACACTAGAGCTCAATATCACTTTCTTGTTCCTCGATGTTGCCGATGTCTGGCATGTTCAATGTAGCAAAACCCACCAAGCGCGTTTTGTTCTGCCGATTTTTGGCCCCCGCCGCGGGGGTGTTTCGTGGGACGCGCTAACGCAAAGGTTGTTGTCTTCAACTGGCTCTCATGCCGCTTCTCGTGAATGGATATGAATGAAACTTGGCAGCCAATCAGAAAAAAGGTCAATCTCGTAGTATGCAGTTTGACAACTATGTACCCATCCAAGAAGCAGTCGAAAACGTTTGCGAAAGTGGTTGATGTGGTGCGCTTTGAAGATTTTTTCGGAGCTGTGATTTGTCAAACTGACTGATACATTGTACACCATTTTTCTTTATTCCCTTAAAATTTCATGCTTTTGTGTTTAGCGGTTTTTGCGTAATCTTTAAAAATGTGGGAGTAACTAAGGGAAAAGCGACATTGCCATTTGCGCGTGCTGGATGAACGACTGGCGGCTGGGAAATTTCCACTGAGTGACGTCATCAGCCATCGGTCGCCTCGGGCGCTACAAACAAGGCCCCGCTTATGACGTGAACCGGAAAGGGGGGGGAAGGGTACTTGAATACTAAACGGGGGCCTTGGTAACTTGCATTTTGCTGCATTTTAATTTTAGTCACAATACAATAGATGTAGTCATTTTTATTTGCTTGATTGCATGACAGAAGAATAGAAACAGAAAAGCAAACATCTTGAGAAGTGGTATGGCATTGTGTTTGCGTTATGACAGCCTATTCCCCCCTCTGGAGAAAGCACACACTTGGACTCGTCCTGTGTGCTCTGTTTGGAAAAGTGAGGCATTAAGATTGTTATTAAAGAGTATGGTACTTATTTAGTCCAGTCTGGGAAGATAGTCTCGTTTATACATTGATATTGTTCACGCGTGCGTGCGTGAGTACGCCCGTGTGCGTGTGTGTGTGTGTGCGTGAGAGAAAGAGAGGGGGGGGTGTAAATATGTTACATTTATAGTATGAGTTGTAGCCTACACATGCGAAATATTCCCATGACTTGTAAACTATATTATCTAAACGCATTTTAATCTACCACACAAAATAGGACACTGTCAACAATGGATATACACAGAGACGATCTTATTTTCTATTACAAAGTATGCATGCTTTTACTAGTAGAGAACTGGATTTATTAGACTAATAAATCCAGTTCTCTACTTACATTTTTGTGACAAATTGATCCAAAGCATTGCTTGGCAAGGAGGAACCTCTTATGTTGCCAAGTTTCATTCAAATATCATGACTTTGGGAGAAGATATGACTGATAATCTTTGTAAATCTGTAAAGAACACCACTTTTTTACCTGTTAATGTCTTTACAACTCAAAAAGTGTGATAGATATTAAAAATCTGACAGCATGACTAGATTCTTCATTAAAAACTGAACTAGACTGCCAAGTTTCATTTACATACTCCAAGAAATAGGTGAGCTATGACAAATATTGTCTCAAAACGCACCGAAAACCGACACATTTTTACCTATAAACGTCTTCATAACTCAAAAAGTAGGATAGCTGTGAAAAATCTGAAAGCAGGACAGGATTCTGCACTAGAAAATGTACTGGGTTGCCAAGTTTCATTTAAAAACTCCGAGAAATGAGTGAGTTATGACGAATATTGTCTTAAAACTCACCAAAGAACGTCCCATATTTTGGTTTTTTTTCATTATATAAAAGTGTACCAAAATTGATTTTAAAATTCGTAACTTTTTTGTTTATTGATGGATTTAAAAAATTCAAAAAGTTCCATGCTTTGTGAAGATACAGCTGCAAAATTCACATATTTGCAAACACTTTCTGACAAAAAAGGTTTTTCCTGGTCATTGCTATTGAATGGGATGACCTGACCATCAATGATTTATTTATAGAGGCACCAGCCATCCATTGAATGGGATATAGATCCCAACTTGTCAATGATACAAAAACTTGGGTGAATTTTTAATGACACCTTTTTACTCTTTCAGTGTTACTGACAAGAATTCTGTAATGGTTCTGGGATATTTTTTTCAAAGAAGGGAGTGGGGGTTAGATTTTGAATCTATAAAATAATAAAAAGGGTTACACATGATACTTGGATCAAAAAATGTTATTTCAGGCTTTTTTTTTTTAGATCAGCAGAGTTTTGGAAAAATTATTTGGTACAAACTTGAGTAAATTGTGCTTTTAATTTATATTTTAAATTTTGTTGATTTTTTTTTATTTTTTTTACTAATGAGCCTTAATTTCTTCTTTTTCCTAGGACCAAGATGGGCATCCTGGAACTTGGGGATATTTTTGTGTATACGCTGCGCTGGAATTCACCGAAATCTAGGTGTTCACATTTCTAAGGTCAAGTCAGTCAATCTGGATACATGGACACCAGAACAAGTTGCTGTGAGTATTTTGTTCTGAGGTTGTCTGGATACAACTGGCTTTATTAGAGTATTGCGTCTGAAGTGGCAGTGATGATTTTTGGTATGATTTCTAACGTGACTAATAGATTCCTTACAAGGATTTTATCATATTTAATGCTCATTGCTGATTGATGGTAATGCCCACTTAAGTTTCTGCTGGTAAGGGGGATCCTGAGGTCAGTAATTTATACCTTCATATTGATTTCCATAATTCAGCAAAATTTTGAAAAGTTAACAGTGACTTGAAGAGTGTATATGTGGGACATTCCATGTCAGGAGATGCTTTTACTTCAGCAGGCCATATTCTCTTTCAGACAAGCTATGCATGCCAACCTGTACGTTCTTTTATTCCCCCAACTTGAACCATTCGTCTGTATTTTCAGATTGTTTCGTTTTGTATTTTTAATGAAATTTGACAGTAAATAAATCTCTTAGTACAGGGCACCTGTGCTTTTCAGGCAGTAGAGGTTATTGTGTGCATGTTTATTTTATGCTACTTTTTTTTTTTTTTTCACCTTTTGGTCGTAAGTGTATGAACATGGTGGGTGAAAACATTGAATTTTTTCCACCTAAATATGTGAGGCATCTTAATGAAACCAGGCGCTTGTCAAAATGAAATCCGAAAAACCAGCATTTTTCGGCCAGAACGGAATTTTTTTGGTGGGCTCAGCACCTCGTACGTCCATTCAAAAACACATGTTTGTGACGATTTTATGGAAGAGAACATCGATTACTGGCACAACAAATTTAAATTTGCAGTTTCCAAGGACTCTTAAGCTATGGAAGTCACTGAACTTTGATGGCCATTTTCTCGCTAATTTTACCTCTGAAACTAGGTGACCCCACCTCCTTCATTCGCAAATTTCTTCTATTCAAGATAAATGGATATTTTTTCCAGTGGAAGCAAGGCAAATAAACAATCTTTAAGATGGTACCAATAACTCCATGTACCTAAAAATTGACGAGCGCCTGATTCCTCTGCGTTATGACACGTATATATACAAAATTATATATATATGGGGGGGGGGGGGGTCTCCGAGCTGCTGCTTTTCAAAGTTTTTGTTGTGTTACTCTTTCTGAAAAGGCTACAGCGGTGTAGAAGCTTATAATTTCTTTATGTTATACAAGATTGTTATTTTTTTGTCTTCGTGACATTTTGTTTTACTTTGAAGCTCCTGCCTTGTTTCTCTTGAACATCATGTACTTATTTCACAACAGATGGTCCAGGAGATGGGGAACAGCCGAGGTCGGGCTGTGTATGAAGCCAACATTCCTGATGGATTCCGTAGACCCCAGACAGATTCGTATCCTTTTTAGCTTCGAATATGATTTCAATGTCCATTTCTCTATTGATATCATTGTAGTGGGTTGACTGTATGTGATTGGTTCGTGTAGGTGTGTTTTATGGGAGAAAAGGCATAAAGCTGCTTTTAAAGATAAAGTGCCATTTACGTTATATAATCTAACATGAAATGGGAAAGGAATTTTAATTTCATTAAGTTCCAATTTTACGAGAACCCTTTCTAAAGTAGGCCTGTGGGTGGTTGGTGGGTGCTCTGGTGTGGTTTGCTGTTTCTTTCCTATCAAACATCTATCGTCCTTATCTCCCCTCCTCAGCACCCTATATCCTTATATGTCCACTTAAAAATGTGTTTCTCTGTGGATTAAAGGCACACAAAAAAGTGTAAATTTTCAGTTTCCAAGGACACTCAAGCTTTGCTTGCTTATTTTACCTCTGATACCAGGCAACCCCCACCTCCTTTAATTGTAAATATCTCGACCGCTTTTCAAAATGGATGGTATTTTAAAAAAAATGAAAGTAAAACAAAGGATCAAGCTTTAGGATGATACTAAAAACTCCATAAATGCCCAGTAATTGACGAGTGCCTGGTTCCACCATGTCATGACTCAAATACTCGAAAGAATGACTGAACATCCGCTGCCATTCAAACCAGTTCGTATCAGTATGGCTGATCCCAAATTTTTTACACTCTTGAACTCTTTGTATCATTGTTAACAGCAATGGAAAGCTAAATCTTGAAGTCTTAGTGCTTAGCCAAATTGTTTTTCCCTTGAAATTTACTGTCTTTAGGATTTTGTACTGTGGAGATTTTGGTGTGTTTGCCTTTGAGTCTACATTGTATTTTGTTGCAGATTTCATGAGTTCTGTGAGGTGAACTCGGTTTTTTAAATTCTTTTCAGGACAATGCTAACAGAAGAAGTCATTATTTTGTTTATGTCCTGAGGGGGTTTTTTTGTCTTTTTTTTTCACTGTGTCCCCTGTGTTAAAAATAAACGGTGTGTAAAATTGCTTTTCCTTAAATTTGCTTTGAGATAGAGTTAATACTTGTTTACATGCTTCATTTTCCTTAACGAGATGCAGTGCACTGGAGGCTTTTATCCGTGCTAAATATGAACAGAAGAAATATATTGCTCGGGAGTGGATTCCACCTCAGCCGAAAGTACCAAAGGAAGTAAGTACCCAGCTGCTATTTTTTTATTGGTGCCAACATGAGGCTTTGTGTGTTTTGTAACACCAGAGTCCTTGGTTTGTGCCTTTCGTCTGTTACGAATGTTTATGCGCATTTTGCCAAAAATAGTTTATACATTATGGGAGCGTTTGATTTCCGTGTTGATGTGTGAGTAGTTCTGTGTCATATATTATATATATTTCCAGGCCTACTGTGGTCTGATTGTCAAGTAATGTATGTAGTGATGTGTATGGTACATGTGCACCTCAAACAAAGCTCCAGTTTTAAATTCTTATTCTGTGTTATTTGCAATACACTCTGTTCTTTATGCCACCAATTATAAAAGGCATGCATAATGTTTATCATGCAAGTATGTTATATTTAAGCTCAATATGCATGTGATTTGAAAGCACCATGAAGTTTTCATAGATGTGAACTGCAGTGTGCAATATTTAAGTTTTCTTTTTCATTGTGCACAATTGTAGTTCTTTTCTTCCCTTAAAAGTGTGATAGAGAGTGCCCTCTTTCAAAGTGTGAATACAATCTTTTCATAGGGGGGGGGGGGGTTACTATACATGATAATGGCATCGAGTTTGATTGACCTTTATTGCTGCTGTCATTGGTTATTGTTGTTGGAGGTTTTAAGGGGTTTTTTTGTTGCTTTTTAAAAATCTAAAATTGTTTTAAAGATTAGAATATAGTAGTTTTATAAAACTCTGAGCCTAGATAAATAAGTGCATACAGATGCCATTATACTTAGGCATTGATCTAACTTGTATGGTGGTCTCGATTTTGTTCTTCAAATCGCGATTCATTACTATGGAAAGGTCCTTATCAGGAAAATAAATTGGGTTACTATAAAATGAGGTCTTGAGAATTTTGTAACAGTAAGAAAGTGTTACACAGTTCATCTCGTCAATTTGTTTGCCCTACTTCAGTGTTTTCTTGCTATTATTTTTTTGTTTACTAACTTCTACTGCTGACAAGCACATTTTTTGTTTGTAATTTCCGAGCACCTTTATGAGTGTTTGCTATAACATCTCTTAATGTTTTTTACCCAGTCCTTTCGTCTTTCAACAAGAGTGTGTAATATCTGGCAATGAGTACTTTTGAAAATGTTATGTTGCGTTTACACCTTCGCAGATACATGTCTTGCTGACAAAGCCATTCACTATTGTATTAAGATAAGTACAGAAATAAACGGATGAAATTTTATAATGAAAGATGAGAGAATTTTGTCTTTCTGTCTTTTTTTTTTAAATCTTGGTTGCCAAAGCAAGACTTTTTGATTTATGAATTTATATGATGCCTAGAATTTAACAAAGATAAAACTCTTCTACATTCCTTTTTTTAGGGGGAAAATTCTTCAGAAGGCTTCTTATAACAATGGTTTGAGATTAGATTCTGTCAGAACAGTTGGTTGCTAGATCTTAGGGCTGATTGTTTTCCAAAGAAGCTGAAAGAATAGATGGTCACACTTGGTCAGATGTAGAGTAGTGTTTGATAGTTATTTTTATAGGGTTTTTTAAAACTTACAGTAGTTTATGGAATAACGTTGTGGAATAAGGAAGGGTGATCATGTCTCGACTCACACGGCTGCTATGAAGTGGTTTTAGCACTGAAATTGTGTTTTCACAGTTGAATAACAAATCGGTAAGTGCCTTTCTTATACCCAACTGAGAGATCATACGAGGGTAAACCTTTTGGCTGTTATTTTCTTCCCCTTTTCGTTTGGTTTCTGTTTTACTCTGTGGTGCCTGAAACTAGCGGTCTAGTCGTCTTGTGATGTCTCACATCCTACTGTCCATGACGAAAACTCTGTCCTCCTCTCTTCAATCTCTGCTGCATGGTGAAAGTGATTAATTCATTTCATTTTTCGGCTTCTTGGACTGGGATTTCCTTTTTTATCAACTCTCAATTCTTCATATTATTGTCATTTCGTAATTTCTTTCTTTACATACATTAAAATAAACTTTATTTTCATTGTTGGTGAATGTGTATTCTATTGTGATGATTGGGTGCTTTTTCATCATTTCAAATCCGCTGTGTCGATTTTCTGTTGACAGTCCTAAACTGTATCTGGTTGGGATGATACTTGAGCTTAATGCGTCCTATATTGTGTAAGTCACTGTGATTGTACTGTGTTTTACTCTTGTTTCTATTCCTCACTTATTAGTGGGAAAATTATTTTGTCACCATGTGCTTGGAGGTTTTGATATCTGATAATATTTATCTGGTGATAACAAAATATTTTAGGACCCTTTAAACACAAAGACATCTTACACCACAGCGCAATCTCCTACCTTTATTCGTTTGATGATTGAACTCTCAACAAAGTGATGTTATCAAATTGCTTGACCTGTCTGTGTAAAAATAGAAAGGATGCATATGACACAATCATATTTTTGAAGCTCCTTTTTGTCAGATTTGATTAGTAGTTCCGAAAGAGCATTTTTGCATAAATGCAAGATAAAGTTATCTAGTAAAAACGTTCTTACACAAAACAAAGAAAAGGCCTTGTTGCAAGTAAATTGTGTTCTTCTGGTAAATAAGTTTTGCATTTGCAAAAGCCTGTAATGCTTTCCAGTTTCTCACAAATTGTATGTTGCCAACACTGTAAACACTGTCTCCTGCGTTTCAAACAAGATATATAATAAAGCATGAAATTGTGAAACTCTCGCACGTGTTAAGAAAGGTGAGGGGCATGCTGCAAAGGCTTGGATGCACGTTTTATTCCCATGGAGTCCACTTGTAATTTTGATTCTCTACTCGGACTGGTGAATGTGAAACATGTGTTAATTTGTTGTCTTTTCCCGTTTGTTGGTTAGGTAACTTCCTGCCAGCCTGCATGTTACATTTATATATCAGGGAATGAATCAGGTCATGATTCAGTGACAATCTCAAACAGGAATGTGGAAAAACAGTTTACTGAAATTAACCACGCCTCACTTTATTATTGATATACGTTTATTCTGTTTGGAGCTGTGGCAAAGAAGGTGTTACAAAATGTGTGGTTGCACGAAGCATGCTTGTTGCTTTGCTTGTCTGTCTGTCTGTCTGTCTGTCTGTCTGTCTGTCTGTCTGTCTGTCTGTCTGTCTGTCTGTCTGTCTGTGTGGGTGGTTGGTGGGAGCTCTGGTGTGGTTTGCTTCTTCTTTCCTATCAAACTCAAACATATGTCGTCCTTATCTCCCCTTCTTCTTTTTTATGTTTGTTACTCTCTTGTAACACCTCTAATCTTCTGGCGCTCATTTGACCTTATGCAGTTGCGAGTGCCGTAAAACTCTTACTAAAACTAACTGTCTGTCTGTCTGTCTGTCTGTCTATCTGCCTGTTTGTCTGTCTGTCTGTCTGTCTGTCTGTCTAGTCTGTCTGTCCTCGTGCTTATGATAATGTTACTACCTTGATTTTTGCTCACAATGTAATGTTTTTAATATTTTTATTTCCCACATCCCTATTTCAAAAGTTTAGCTCCTGAGAGAATAATGGAAACTAATTCTGTCACAAAGTCACATACATTAACAGAGGAAAAGCGAAAACGTTGCTTATTCTAATGTACTTGTATTTCACCTTTTTTTTTGAGTTAATGAGCCAAAAATAATAGATGTATAGTGTCAAAATTTGGAATAAATTGAGTCATTCTGTCTTCGGGATTTAAAAAAAAAGTATTGCAAGGGATATGTTTCATTCGATGTATTCTTATCCACAAATGCTTGACACGATGCAATAAACTATCTTCTTTTGATTCATTCAAAAGCTGAAATAGCCATCAGAATAGATTGCTATGCTTAAATTCCGCTTGATGGGTAGGCCTATATTTTAGACATGGTTATGAAAAGCGGTAAGTGGGTGGTTAGCGGATGCTCTGGTGTGATTTGCTTCTTCTTTCCTATCAAACATCTTTCGTCTTTATCTCTCCTCCTTCTTTTTTGTGTTTGTTCCTCTCTTGTAACACCTCTAATCTTCGGCACTTATGTAATCTTATTGTGTTGCAAATGCCGTAACACTCTTTCTAAAACTCTTGCGTAATGTGGGATTTTAATAATGTTGTCTTCTTCCGTGAGTGTGTGGGCTTGAACCAGTCAGTACATGCGCAGTGTGGAAAGTGCTTTCTGTCTGAAGTTATTCTCAAAAAGGCGATTTATTTTTTAAGATGAACTGCCATGAGTGTTGTCTACTTGCGTGCCTGTGATTGTGAGCTTAAAACGAAGTTGTTGTTTTTTTTATTGTTTTTTTTTTTTCTCAGTCTTTCCTGGATTGTGTTTGTTTTGCACGGCTTGGGAGGGACATTGTGTTCAGTTGAAAGGCATGTCTATTAATTTAACCGCACATTGTTAGATCTTTTTTTGTTTTGTTGTTTTTGTTTTGTTTTGTATGTGTGATTTATTCATAGGTTTGATATCGCCCTCTTTGTTACCAATGCCATGCTCAGTTTAGACTGGTGGGTGGTTGGCGGGTGCTCTGGTGTGGTTTGCTCATACTTTCCTGTCAAACATCTGTCGTCCTTATCTCCCCTCCTTTTTTGTGTTTGTTACTCTCTTGTAACACCTCTAATCTTCTGGCGCTCATTTGACCTTATGCAGTTGCGAGCGCCGTAAAACCTCTACTAAAACTAAAACTAAAAGTTTAGACTGAAACCGAGGGTTTTTCTATGTTTTATGTTTGTTCGCCAGTGTTATTTTCCGACAACAGCTTTTTGTATTCGTCATTGACTGATACGCTGTAGCGCATTCGTCGTTGTCTGACAGATCCAAGATAAAGCGTCGCCCTGATTCATTTTTTTTCTTATGAACAGCTATTAGATAACTATGTTTTGTTTTGTCAGATATTACCTTTAACCCTATCCGTACGTTGTGTTTTACAATCGTATCCTTACGACGTGGGGAACTCTGTGCCACCACTTTCCGAAGAGGAAATTTGCTCGTTAATCCGATCCGTACGCTTTGCATAGAAGTCTGTCAAAATGATTTTTTTTAAAGGAATACTGAAAGTTTCAAAGAGATCTTCGTACTAGAAGTATTTTAAAATGTGAAGAATGCAACACTGGGGGTACAAAATGACCCCAGGGCGTACGTATAGGGTTAAAATTTTCCCATTCGTGACACGGCACTGTGATGTCGACATTCTCTCTTACTCTTACCTTATTTTTGTAACCGTTATCGCTCATACCTGAACCAGATCACTTACACTTACTCATCAACCAGTCTGCGGGGTGGTTGGAGGGCGCCACTGGTTGTCCTACTTCTTTATTCTCCC